GGAAGCAGAAGGCTAGCTAAAGGAGAAAGCACAGGCTGACTCCCTGAATCCCTGACCTCCCACTCTTCGGTGAGATCTCTGGGACAGTTCCAGGAAGCTGCCAGCTATCTTATTGGTAATGCCGAACTATAGGGAAAAACAACCTTAACTTGACAATGGCAAAGACCTCCAGGATCTTGAAGGTCCTCTTTAACATATTCTTTTTTTTTCCTCTCTTTTTTTAAATTATTTATTTTCAACATAACATTATTCATTGTTTTTGTACCACACACAGTGCTCCATGCAATCCGTGCCCTCTCCAATACCCGCCACCTGGTTCCCCCAACCTCCCACCCCCCCACCTCTTCAAACCCTTTAGATGGTTTTTCAGAGTCCATAGTCTCTCATTGTTCACCTCTGCTTCCAATTTCCACCAACTCCCTTCCCCTAACTCCCCATGTCTTCCATGCTATTTGTTATGCTCCACAAATAAGTGAAACTATATGATAATTGACTCTCTCTGCTTGACTTATTTCCCTCAGCATAATCTCTTCCAGTCCTGTCCATGTTGCTACAAAAGTTGGGTATTCATCCTTTCTGATGGAGGCATAATACTCCATATCTTCCTTATCCATTCGTCCATTGAAGGGCATCTTGGTTCTTTCCACAGTTTGGCAACCGTGGCCATTGCTGCTCTTTAGCATATTCTTTTGAAAACCTCCCTTTCTCCCAACCCCTAATGCCCAAGTGTATAATGAACCTTGGCTCCCAACCCCACGCAGCAGCTCCCTCTGCCCAAGGGTCCTGTCCCCATGCTTTAGTAAAACCAACATTTTGCACCAGAGACATTGCAAGAATTCTTTCTTCATCGTTGGCTCCCAACCTCACTCCACCAAACCTCACCTGTATTCCAAAAACCCATCACCAGGAACCTGTGCACGTGTTCCATCAGCAGCAAAAGGGACCCTGCAGATGTGCTTATGTTAAGGACCTTGAGACGGGGAAATGATCCTGGATTCTCCAGGCAACCCCCTGAATGACAAGGGGGTCTTAAAACTGGCAGAGAAGGAGGTCAGAAGGATGCTGCGTGAGGAGGACTCTGCCTGCTGGGGCTGGGACTGAGCATGGAGGAGGGGCCTCTAAAAGCTGGAACAGGCAAAGAGACGTACTATCTGCTTCACCTAAAAAAAAAAGAAACTGCCAGATATTTTACCAGCAAAAATGGGATTTGTCGGGAATAAAAGGGAAAGGCGATCTGGGATAAAGCAGCGTTGGCAAATCCATAGGCAAGTCCAGAGAACAAATGGGAGGGCCACTCTTCTTTTTGTTTTTGTTTGTTTGTTTGTTTTGTTTTGTTTTTGTTTTTGTGTTTTTTTAATGGTTATTTTATTTTATTTGCAACTCTTATTTTTTTTACTTATTTTTTTAATTTTTTTTCAGCATAACAGTATTCCTTGTTTTTGCACCACACCCAGTGCTCCGTGCAATCCGTGCCCTCTCCAATACCCACCACCTGGTTCCCCCAACCTCCCACCCCCTGCCCCTTCAAAACCCTCAGATTGTTCCCACTCTTCATTTTGAAGGAAAGGGGTCAGTTGGGAAGATTGTTCTAAAAGTCCATCGTGGTGAACTGTGAGTTGGAAGAGCGCTGGTGTCTCCCTGGGGGAACAAAGCTAGCGTTCCTGACTGTGGCCTGGTTAGTAGAGGTCTATGCCTGTGCAATGTCAAGTCCCAGTAAGGTCAGATCAGTCCCTCCCTTGGGGCCACAATGCCCAAGGAGGTAAGTAGGGCAGAGGAGCTCCTTTGCTAAAACCTCCACACTGCATTTTATTGTGGTCTCCCTTGACTAATTTCCACCCTCTCCTAGAGCCTCCAGAAGGGAAGGTACCCTGTGGACATCTCGATCTTAGTCCAGTGAAATCCTTGTTGGGACTCTTCACCCTCAGAACTGTAAGATAAAATATATATATATATATATATATATGTATATGAGTTCTTTTAATGCGCTCCGTTTATGGTGACTTGGTAACACAGTAAGAAGCATCTAGCTCATTCACCTAGTGGTAATGAGTTCTGGGGAATGAGATAAATTCTGTACAAACTCTACAGGTTTTCTGTCTTAGGTCCACAGGTCAAGAGCTAATTTTATTCGGGTTTTGTCTTATTTTTAGGTACCTGCTGATATGATGTGGGCCAGGAGCAAATGGTCAAGAAAGAATTTTTGAGGCATCTTCAGGGCAAAAACCATGTTTTTATTAAAGTTCAGGGACAGGACTCCTGGAAAGGAAGAGGTGCCCTGGGATTTTGAGGAGTGATTGATCATATAATGTATGTTGGGGGTGGAGGGTGGAGATAAAGACATTTCCAAAGGGATTTTTAGGTGTTATAAGAGACTGTAAGGAATTTTACTTTTATTTACATTTCACTGGCATTTGCTCTCCTCATCACCTGCCATCTTTTCTTTTTTCTTTCCATTCTTTTCTGTGGGATTCACAGTCCGTTCCCTGCATGGGCTCAGCCAGGTTCTTTATGGGAATTATGCCAAGTGGAAGCCATTGGCGGCCACACAGAAAGACATTTCAAGAGTGGGCTCTGTTACTCTCACAGAAGGGTTAGGACATAACTTACAAAGAGGTGAATATTGGACAATCTTCCCATTAAAGGTACATTTTTGTTGTAACGAGTTCTCTTAAGGCACGAAGCTACTTTTCAGCCTTTCACAAAGGGTGAAAAGCAACTGATCTGTGACTGGATCCTGAGTGGAGTGAGGTTAATATGATATAATACGCTGTTGCTTTCCTAAATGTTATGTATTTAAAATGAGTTTTGTAGAAGCAGTATCTGAGTTCCTCACTGATTACTGACTATCCCATCAGAGTACATCAGCCCTGGTGGCATAGGGATGGAGGAGGAATCGCTGGGATGCTGGAATAAGTACAGGGCGACATGGTCTCACGCTTGGTTTCTTTGCCTTAATAGCTTACCGACATTCAGCCAATTGGCCAGCGAGTTCCTCTGTATTGACAGCTAAAGGCCTCCGTGGAAATACTTGAACAACAGAGTGGGAGAGCAGATGTGGAGTCACTCCATCGACTAATAAAATATGAGGCATCCCTACCTCAGGTGGGAGTCTTTTCTTGGGTCTTTCTGTTACTGGTTGCAGTGGTGGTGATGGTTGTGAGATTCTATTTGAGGGTTTTGTTTGTTGTTGTCCGTGGTTGTGACTCTCTAGGAAATAATTGTGGAGTGATAGCTTTATAGTAATTCTTGGAAAGTAAAAGAACATAACTAAGGACTCTTCCCAAGGAATATTTGCAGATCTCTGTGCCAACATTTATGGAGGACTTATACACTTTTCAGTTAAAGGTTATCAATCGAAGTGAAACAACTCTATAATTTTGGGTCAGTGTTGGAGAACAACAGTTTTAAACTGTGGTCTGCATCAGAATCACCTGGGGTAAGATACAGATGTAGTGAAAAGAAGGGCCATCTGTACCCCAATGTTCATAGCAGCAATGGCCACAGTCATCAAACTGGAAAGAACCAAGATGCCCTTCAACGGATGAATGGATAAGAAAGATGTGGTACATATACTCTACGGAGTATTATGCCTCCATCAGGAAGGATGACTTGGGACAGGACTGGAAGAGATTATGCTGAGTGAAATAAGTCAAGCAGAGTCAATTACCATATGGTTTCACTTGTTTGTGGAGCATAAGGAATAATATGGAGGGCATGGGGAGCTGGAGAGGAGATGGGAGTTGGGGGAAATTGGAGGGGGAGATGAACCATGAGAGACTGTCACCCTGAGAAACAATCTGAGGGTTTTGGAGGACAGGGGAGTGGAAGGCTGGGTTAGCCTGGTGATGGCTATTATGGAGGGCATGCATTGCACGGAGCCCTGGGTGTGGTGCATAAACAATGAATTTGGAACACTGAAAAGAAATTTTTTTAAAAAGGCTAAAAAACAACAACAACACACACACACACACACACACACACACACACACAAACCTCTGAAACCCAAAAGAAAAAAAAATCACCTGGAGGTATTTGTGTAAGAAATGCAGATTCTGGGGCCACACACCAATGGAATAGTTGGGATTAGAGCCCAGGAAGTGGCTCCTATGATCTCCACTGCTGATTCTAAGGCTCTCCAAACCTGAGAACCACTCTCTAATATTTTTAGATTGGGGATTCTTGAAAAGTGACAGAGAAGGCAAAACTCCTTTTAAACTTAGACTTCAACAGTAGTCTATGACCTTCTTAGGGACAATGTGTCTTTCCTACTCTTACATGCTCAGCCTAGAGACTGGTGCCGAAATCAGAAACAGAGCAGGTGAGGAAAAACCTTTTATTTCTTTGTACACATTTTACTTTCATAGCCGCCAAAAGGACTGTTTCATTTCCTCTAACAGACCCTATCCGCCACTTATGTTGCCCTCGACAAACTACTATAGCAACATATATAAATATCTGTCGTACATTTATACACACGTACACGCCTTCTAAAGCACTGTCAGGACACAGACTAGGCTCTCCCACAACTGGGGCTTCTCAGGTGTCACTTAAAAATGATCACTGGTTTGTCTTACAGGACTTTCAATGGGCTTTGGCTGGCCCTGAGCCCGAGTTCCCCAGAGAGGAGTTAGGTGATGAAAGGGAACGGTGTATTCAGACTGAGGTGGCCACACTTCGGAGATGATAAAAGAAGGGAACTAGGAGGTGCTAGGCTAAGCAGGAGATGGCACATGGGAAGCCACCGCTTTCACCAGGAACATTCAAAGCACTCAGGAGCCACGATGTAGACGGACGTCCAGCCGAATGGTGGCCAGGCTAAGCCAGCCCCTGGGAAGCATGGATATCTGGGAGTTGTGCTGGCTGAGCCCCACTAGCCCTCAGGGCACTGCTGTCACTCGTGGGCTTTGGAATGGGCTGAGGAGCTCCTGTGTGGGGATCAGAGGTCCCATCTGTAGGAAGCAGGGTCTTGTGTTCCCTGAGCTGACCGTCTGAGGGCAGGCGTTGGAGTGAGGACTGGCTGTGGCCGGTTCCCAGGCCAGTGAGGTGCGCAGAAGCATTGTCAGGAGCTCCTCTATAGACCAGTGCTGGGATGAACAGCCCCTGGCAGGTAGTGTTCCTCAGCCACAGGAGAGGCTGTCTGCCCTTCATCCTCCTCCACGGGGAAGAGGATGGGACCCTCTGGCAGGTGTGGAGGACTGGGCTCCTGGTCTCCTCAGCAGATTAGAATCTGCACCAAAGGGGGACAGGCCCAGTCTTCCTGCTGTTTGAAGGACCTCCAGTGGCTCCTTTTCTTCCGTGGCTCCTGGAAGGCAAGGGTCACAAGACGGAGGTGCACAGCAGTGCCCTTAGGGACTTCACCTGGAGACAGAAATATGACAAGGTGAGAACCTAGTTTCAGGTTCTTCTTGTGGCTCCCTGAGCTGCAGGGATCACTGGGAGCAGGGGCTGAGCCAGGAGCTCAGCAAGAGCCTGTCAGAAGGATGAGCCCAGGGGAGGGGGTGTGGACTTGAGGAGCCCCTCATGCCACCAGGTGAGAGGGAAGTTTCCCCACCACCTTGGGCAGGAGACAACTGTGCTCAGAGGCACTGCACATGAGGTGCTCAGATCTCACACTCCCTCTTCACGGGCCAGTCCACTCCCTGGTTCACTTGGAGCAAAAAGATGGCTTCTGTGACCTCCCGGGAGCCGAAGCACTTGGTATGAAACATGCCCATGAAGAAACAGCCTGTTGTAGGAAGGAGAAGATGTAATGCAGGGAAGTCCCCTGTTCAGTTCATGTCCCATGTACTTAATGAGGATAGGGAGGGGCCCCGTCAGCAGGGAGCTCCAATAGCCCCTAGTGTCACCTCTTACAGATGGATGGTCCAAGGCCACAGAGCCAGTTGGTGACAAGCCTGGGATTGGAACACAGGACTCATGCCCTTTCCATTGGTCTCTGGAAAGTGCAGAGGAAACTTGCAAACATGGGGAAGCCAGTGGGTATGTGGGGCTGTTTGGTTACCTTTGCTGGGACAGGAATAAGGCTTTACAGAGGCCATCTTTTATGTGTTCTTCTAAAGAGGCTCAGGAAAGAAAGGAATCATCAGAGTAGAAAAAAAGGGAATTAGAAAAAAAAAAGTTTGGAGGGGAGGGTGAAATCATTGCCCGACCCATTTTCACACCATGGGATCAATATTCTCTCAGGCTACATAAGGAACATTCCTAGGAAAAGGTCCAATTACTTATGGCAGAACTTTGACGTCCAGTGAAGGGTTTACTTTCTTTCCCTATTCTTTTTTAAGGATCTCCATGGCTAGCATGGAGCCCAACACAGGGCTTGAAGCCTCAACCCTGAGATCAAGACCTGAGCCAAGATCAAGTCAGATGCTCAACTTCCTGAGCCACCCAGGTTCCCCTAAAGGTTTAGTTTCTGATTTACAAGCCATTTGGTACACTTCAGCTTACTTGCTAGGGATCGGGTTAGTATTTCAAGTAAATGTACAGAATACCTGCCATATACCTAAAATGTTTCACTTCAAGTTTCATTTTTATTTGTTATCAAATTCTCTTTTAGGTCAAGAAGAACCAATGGTTTTCTTTGGAAAAGGAAAGATCAAGACTGAATGGCTATTCTCTGCCAATAGAGTGTGCAACAGAATCAACCGATTTGATGACATCACCAGTTTATTATTTTATGAACTGAAAAGGGCTACAGGAAACACTAGAGCTGGCCCCAGAGCCCCTTTCCTAGAAGCTAATTCAGAGGCATACTCCCCATGTCCTCTTGTCTTGGGAATCAACTCACTTGCTTTCCTCGGACTCCTGACTTGGCCTAAAAGAGGGAAGAAGTGCGGTGAGGAGAGAAGAGGGTCACGATGTCACAGGGAGATGAGATGGCAGGGAAGGGACTGGATTGGGAGAGGTGATGGGGAGCAAATCTAGAAGGACATTTAGTGAGGACCTGAGTCCTAGGTATGGACTGGAAATCTCCTGAAAGTTCAGAGTGGGTCGGGGATCATCTGCAGACTCTGGAGACAGGTGGGGATGGATTTGGGCTGGGTTCTGTGGCTCTGGCAGGTGCAATGGTGTCCTTACCTCCAAATTAGTCCTTGCCTTCTTCAAAACATCATGTGTCCTCGTTACTAAAACAACAAAACAGCCCAATAGGTAGAAGTGACCATCTGTGGCCATACTTGCCTAGTGTGTTCCAAAGGGTGTCTTTCTGGCAGCTCAGATCAGGGTCTCTTTCTGCCCCCATGCACCCCTCCCTCTGCATCCCCAATTACTCATGGCACAGGAGGTTTGGGGACATCACACTGGTCTGCAGCCCTCCTCCCCACCCCACCCAGTCTGTCTGGTCAGGGTCCATAGGCAGCACAAGTGGGGAGCCTGGAAGTCCTCTCACCCCTACTTTCCTCTCTCATCCCCTGCCTCAGGGGCACCCACACTGATTAAAGATGAACTGCTGCATGCTCTCCTTCTGTTGGTTGGCAAGCTTCAGATGCTCTGCTGTGTTCTGCAGGACACTCTCCTGTTTGGACAGTCTGGTTCTCAGTTCCAGAAGTTCCCTTTGCAGGGACTGTCCCTGGGGAAGGGAAACAGTCTCTCTGTCACAGGTCAGAAGGCCTCAAGCACCTGATGCTTTGTGGCCCTTGAAAATCAAAAGCAGGATTCTACAATCCTCTCAATGATTTCTGGACTGGAGTCCCTCCAAGAGAGACACTAGAAGGCTCCAGCTGAGGCCAGCTTAGACCAAGGCCATTAGGTCAGCACACTGAGACACTGGGAGCCCCCATGCACATGGACACGGGCCTCCACTCCTGTGGCTGTAGAGGCCCTGATCCCCGGGCAGTGCCAGGACTCCCAGCGGTGGACCAAGAGCACACATTCAGCACTGACATTAGTTCTAGTGCCAGGGCCTCATGGATAAGACTCGCTAGTGGGGCGTGTTTTGCCAGGGGAGACTGTGTGATTCTGTAAATCTTTGGAACAACTTCAAGATGGCAGAACACCTTCTGCCTCAGAACCAGCATAGTTGGGGCCCATAAGGTGTTAGTGCTTTAATCTGCCCTCATGCTCCTAGGCGGGGCTGGAGGAGGGAGATGGAGAAAATTTCCTGTCCACACTCCCCCCGACCAGAGTCCAGGCCTCATATCTGAGAGCACTTGGTGGGGGGG